CCCATGCAATTCTGCATTCCCAACCAGTCTCCTCTGAGTGGTCCTGTGCTGATTGGGGGGAAGATCGGCTGTCCTTGCTGTGTCCCAGTATTCTCTGGGTGGGCCCGTCTCCCCCACCACCTGTGCTCCAAACACTTCCCATGGGACAGGCCCTGTGCTGGTCCTTTGCGATGACTCGCTGGCCTCTGAATAGCTCCCCTTTTTTAGCTGTCCTGGCTCCTTGCTCCTGCGTGGGTCCACAGGCACCTTATTAGTGGTCTTGCTGTCCTGGGGGCCACCAAGGCCCTCTTCTCCCTGCAGCCTCCAAGTAACTCCATCACTGTGGCTTCTGCCAGCTCCTGCTCCATGCACTCAACAGGTCCAGCCTTAAAGCAGCCGTGGCATGAAATGCTCTGAGCGGTTTTTTCTTTCTCTGATTGTGGTTTCTACCCCTTCATGAACTCCATAGCTCTCTCCTCCTCTTACCCTGAACTCCAGTGGCCCCAGCTTGGCTGATGTTACATTTTTATTGTTGTAAATTGGTTGATTTGTGGGAGAGAGTGATGCTGGGAACCATCTATTCTGCCGTCTTGACCAGAACTTAGAAGCTTTTTCTTTTGGCAGTGACTCAGAGGTATTTTTTAAACAAAGTACTACAAGAATTGGAGGCTCTTATAAAAAGCTGGTTTATCGTGAGTACACAGATGCCTCATTCACACATCAAAAAGAGAGAGGCCCTGAAGAGGAACACCTCGGAATCCTGGGTGAGTGCATGCAGAGTCTATATTGCTGATGTACTCTTGCCCTGGGCTACACCAACCTCAGAAGGAACAGAAACTTCAGGACCTACACTTGATTTCTGCATATAAAGTAGACATGTGAAGGATCAAACATCAATACTATGCAGTAGCTAATTACTTTTCCAAATGTAAATTACTAATAGTAAGTCTGCATCACTAAGTCACACTGAGGTCAAATGATTATTTTTTTTTTTCTTCGAAGAGGAAAGGGGAATTGTGTGTTTATATGACTTGGTTTAAATAAGTAACTAAGTTGTTAACCTCTGTTCCTAGCTAAAGATGCTTTCCCTTTGAAGTAAAATCTAGGCTGCTGATGAGACAGGCTGGAGCTGTCCTAGAGCGCTCTGCAGGCTGTCCTCAGGCAAGCCCGGAATCAGGCCCTCACCCAGCCACTCGGGCAGAACAGCGCGTGAGTGAGCCGAGTTTGGAATCAGACTGTTCTTACTCTTCACCCATTAGCTGTGTGACCTTTGAAAGTTACTCACCTTTCTGCGCCTGCTTTCCTTCTATAAAATGGGAACAGTGATAGCTCCTGCCATAAAGTTGTTGTAAGGATTAAATGAGTTAATACACATAAACACTAAGAAGAACAGAGAGGATGCTCTCAATAAATGTCATTTTGTATATCACATAAAATATTTATATACTCCTCTATATATCTGATTTCATTCTATAATTGGAAACGATGTTAATTTTTGTGGTGGAGAATTAAAAACAGTGTTATCCTTCACATCCGAGATGTTAAGTACCTGCTTTTTGGGTGGTCAAGGGTTATAGCACCCCTGGGATAAATAGCACACATCTGGCCAACAGAATGCCATGGTGCAGAGAGTGCAGACACTCGGAATAGTTTTTTGTGTATGTGCAAAGTTTATTAACTGACTTTGACAAAAACGATAACAAATTTCAGTAACCTGAAGTTGGATCAAAAAACCCTTCTCTCCTCCTTCCAACCTCACCATGTCAGATTGATAATGAACTTTTTAAAAGCCAAGGCTTCCATTTGCCACAAATAGGTATGTTGCTCTCAGTGGTTCTTGCCAGAGGATATGGCCAAAGAAAATAACTGCCTTATACATTCTGCATGTTATATAGCAAGGAAGGATAATAATTCTCTCTTTGTCCGTAGGTCCCGTCATTTGGGCAGAGGTGGGAGACACAATAAGAGTCACCTTCTATAACAAAGGAGCTTATCCCCTCAGTATCCAGCCAACTGGGGTGAGATTCAGTAAGGACAACGAAGGCACATACTATTCCCTACACAACAATGCCTCGAGTGGAAGTGAGTGCAGTTCTCTGTAACCAATCAACAGTGTTTAATAACCCACTGCACTGGTCACTTGCAGTGTCCTGCAGAAACTGAAGACAGGAACCCTTGAGGAAACTGCTCATTCATCATTTGCAGGCATCATGCTAAGAAACAGAGAAACCTCTTCTCCTACCATTTCCAGTTGGTTTGTGGAATTTTGTCCTGACTTAATTGGATGATTATTGGCAATGCTGATGGTAACTTAGTTGGATTGTACCAATTATACATTTCTGGAGATTTGGAATTTAAAAAAAATGTTCTTGTAATTATAAGATGTTTAGGTGCTTATTTTAAAATATTTGGAAAATAGAGAAAGGTATAGCCGAAAATATTAATTAGCCATAGTTCTACAGACAACCACTATTATATTTTTGTATACTTCCTATACTTTCATCTGTGCACATTTAATGTGTACCTTAAGTATGGTTGGGATCATAGTCTGTAAATATACTTATTATTATAATTTTGTAACCAGTTTGTTCTCTTAGCATTATAAGCATTTATAAATATAATTTTAATGACAAAAAATATACCATTATGTGTATGTATTAGAGTATTTCTATATACCAAGGCTGACAAATGAAGACTAGTGACTTTGCCATCACATGCGGTGTAACTCTGAGTAGGTTAATTTTGGCCTGTTTCATGAAGTGTAAATTAAGGAGATTTGAACAGGATCATCTGCAAACTTCCTTCAGTTCTGCAATTATTTTCAGTTCAGTTTTGTTCAAAAGAAAATGCATTGGTTACACCCTATTGCCAGGCGTTGTTCTAGCTGATGGAAATATAGAGACAATGCTTGCCTTCAGGAAGGTTATGTTCTGTTCGGAAGAAAAATACACACAATATAATGTGAAAGGCACTAGGGATATTCTCAGGGGGTGTGTGAGCACAAAGAGGGGCACTGACCCAGGTAGAGGTTTAGAGGAGGCTTCCTGACGGAGATCACACCAATCTGTTATCTGACACAGGAGCGCAAGTAGGAATCCATTTTTCATAACAAGGAACTCAGAACTGGGTTATCCTAGACTAAACCCAGTCTGCTTTGTGGCTCAAACGCCCACACGAGAAAGCATACTTACCCTCTCTAATGTGACCTTTCCCACAGGTGTGCCTCCTTCTTCAGCCTCCCGTGTGGCACCCCAAAAAAAGTTCACCTATAAATGGACTGTCCCTGAGGAAGTGGGACCCACTTATACAGATCCTGTCTGTCTATCTAAGATGTATTATTCTGCTGTGGATCCCACCAAAGATATATTCACTGGGCTTATCGGGCCAATGAAAATATGCAAGAAAGGAAGTTTACATGCAAATGGGAAACAGGTAAATCCAATCGGGAAAAAATGAAAATGACCTGCCAATCTCTTTGAATTATCATTATCATAAGGAAAATTCTGGGTTTTGAGGCAGTGAGGATTCTACACATAACACCTATTACAAATTTTTCTCAGGCTTATAAGATCTGTATTGTTTAGAGATTCTCTGGCTAATATGATTTTTCCAAGATGGGTTGGAAATGAGATTTTCCATGGGCTCCGATGTCCTTTTTACAATTAGACTTTAATGCACACATTTTAAAAATCACCTATTAACGATAATGATTCAGTCAATATTCATTGAGGAAAATATTGCTTAAAATATTTTTTAGAAAGGAGAAAATGACGCTTTGACCTAAAAATAGAAATACCTATCCCCATCACTGTTTTATCTCTAAATTATTTTAGTATATACTTTTAAAAGATGAGTCCTTCAATAATGCCCATGATACATTATCACACCTTAAAATAATAATCATACAAATCATAATAACTCCTTTTTTTAAAATAGTTTTTTATTTTATTAATATTATTTGTTTTTTACATTCCAGGATGTTGTTGTGGAGCAGTTGGGAGGGATGGGGAGGAGAAGGGGAAGAGAATGTGATGGAAGAAGGAGGAAGGAGGCGGGGTGGGATTGAGGCCTGTGGCACCCCCCTCATTCCTACAAGAGAGACCGGGGGGGTTCCAGCAGTGGCTTGGTCATTGCCAGGCTGGGTACAGATGTCAGGGGAGTGTGGCAAAAACCCTCACCCCCCGCCATCCCAGCTTGGGAACCCGGGGCCCTTCTTGTTGTGGCTTGGTGGTCACCACTGGGCTGGCTGTGCCTGTTGGGGGGCATGGCTGAGGCCTTTGTCCCCCCGCCCCAGGACTGTGACTCCTGAAACAAATTTAAGTCCCAGGCTACAATGACACCTAAATGTGATGCTCCCAAAACTGCATCTCCAACTCAGAAACTCTTGTGAATTTCAGATTTGCATTTTTAACTTCTTATGACACCCCCACTCAGTGGTCACTGCTGGGGTGGTTGTGCGTGTCAGGGGGGTGTGGCTGAGGCCTTTGCACCCCCCCAGGACTGGTTATGGATGTCTGGGGGCATTGCAGAGGCCCCCAGCCCTCCCCCTTTCTGGCTTGGTAGCCCAGGGGACTTCTGGTCCTTCTAGGTGTTATAGCTGTTCTTTGGTGAAATGAGACCTTTACTACTTAATATCAAACGTTGTCTCTGGAGAAAAAAACCAAAAACAAAAAACTGTCTCTGGTCTGTGGGTATTTTGTTTTTCTTTCAGTTCTTTGTATTATTTGCTGTTCCCACCACTTAAACTCTGCACTGAAACTAATTTGTTGTCCTTTGCTTACTTCTAAAATGGGGGAACTTCCTGTGGGGACCAGCACCTGAGCGCTGTGGTTGAGCTAAATTGCTGCTTTGCTAGGGAAGGCTTTTTGTGCAGCTCAGGTTTTAATGGTTGACTTTATAGGTACTTTTGGGTCTAGTGAAATTTGGTGCACCTGGGTTGTGTCTGGTGCACCTGGGTTGTGTAGAAACTCTGGTCTGGTCCTGAGTCTTTTCATCAAACTCTACCCCTTGCAATTCTATATTCCTGACCATTCTCCTCTGAGTGGTCCTTCACTGATTGGGTTGGTGCACCTGGGTTGTGTAGAAACTCTGGTCTGGTCCTGAGTCTTTTCATCAAAGTCTACCCCTTGCAATTCTATATTCCTGACCATTCTCCTCTGAGTGGTCCTTCACTGATTGGGGGGCAGATCAGCTGTCTTTGCTGTGCCCCAGTGTTCCCCCGGTGGGTCCATCTCCCCCACCACCCATGGGCCAAACACTTCCAATGAGACAGGCTGTGTGCCAGTCCCTTGCAATGACTCACCAGCCTCTGACTGGCTCCTTTTTTTCAGTTGTTGTGGCTCTTTGGTCCTGTGTGGGTCCACAGAAACACTATTAGTGGTCTTGCTGGCCTGGGGGCCACCAAGGCCCTCTTCTCCCCTGCCACCTCCAAGCAACTTCATCCAAAGGGCACAGCAGTGGCTTTTGGCAGCTCCTGCTCCAAGAGCTCAACAGCTCCAGCCTGGAAGTGGCTGGGGCTTGAAATCGATGGAGCGGTTCTTTCTCTCTCTCATGGTGGCTGCTCCTGCCTTCATGCACTCTGTAGATCTCTCCTTCTCTTCACCTGAGCTCTAGTGGCCCCAGGTTGGCTGTCACTGCTTTTCTATAGTTGTAAATTGGTTGATTTGTGGGAGAGAGTGATACTGGGGACCATCTATTCTACCTTCTTTACCAGAAGCCCATAATAACTCCTTAGTATCATAAAATAGCCAATCAATGTTCACATCTCCCCAATTGTCTTATAATTATTTTAAGTTTTGTTTGGATCAGTATCCAAATAATTTCACATATTACAATCAATTGATACATTTCTTAAGATTATTTTCTTGTAATTATTTTGTTGCAAGTGTCATTGGTCCTGCAGAAGTTTCCCATGTCCAGATTTTCCATATTGCATCCTTGTGGTGTCATTTAATATGTTTTTCTCCCCTTTTATTTCCCATAAATCAATGGCTAGATCTAAGTGTTTGATCAGATTCAAATTACGGTTTTTTCTTGCAAGACTACTTCAAATGTGGTCCTGGGTACTTCTATCAGTGAGTACATAATATATAGTTGTCTCTCCATTAGGCATGTTATCAGTCACTGATGACCATTTCCTAGATTCATAAACTAATCAGGATTGCATAATAGTAATATTCTAATTCCATAATTCTTTCTTTATTTGCTGTCATACTTCTATAAAAAGAAACTTCCCTTACTAAATTATTTGGTTACCCTTAGGTACATATTATATAGGAAGGGAATGACAAATACTTGATTCTTTCCCTATATTTTTATGTTTTCAAATTAATAGCTCTCAATAATTTTTCTTTTTAAGAAGCATTGAGAACTCATGGATATAAGCATATTTGGTGAGTTTCCATTCGTTGCCATTATCTTTATTGATGTTCAAAGTGTCCTTCACTGGAGAATTTGTTCAGGTTGACTCCTTCATTTTCACATGACTTTAGCAGTCTTTAAGCTTATTTACTTTCTAGTAAAACAAGATATTTTAGGCTTGTCTTGAACATTTTCTGAGCCAGACCTGGAATCAGCTATTTCTCCCAAACAGTCCTGGTTGTTTTTGGTAAGAAATTATTTTTAGAANGTGGGGACCAGCACCTGAGCGCTGTGGTTGAGCTAAATTGCTGCTTTGCTAGGGAAGGCTTTTTGTGCAGCTCAGGTTTTAATGGTTGACTTTATAGGTACTTTTGGGTCTAGTGAAATTTGGTGCACCTGGGTTGTGTAGAAACTCTGGTCTGGTCCTGAGTCTTTTCATCAAAGTCTACCCCTTGCAATTCTATATTCCTGACCATTCTCCTCTGAGTGGTCCTTCACTGATTGGGGGGCAGATCAGCTGTCTTTGCTGTGCCCCAGTGTTCCCCCGGTGGGTCCATCTCCCCCACCACCCATGGGCCAAACACTTCCAATGAGACAGGCTGTGTGCCAGTCCCTTGCAATGACTCACCAGCCTCTGACTGGCTCCTTTTTTTCAGTTGTTGTGGCTCTTTGGTCCTGTGTGGGTCCACAGAAACACTATTAGTGGTCTTGCTGGCCTGGGGGCCACCAAGGCCCTCTTCTCCCCTGCCACCTCCAAGCAACTTCATCCAAAGGGCACAGCAGTGGCTTTTGGCAGCTCCTGCTCCAAGAGCTCAACAGCTCCAGCCTGGAAGTGGCTGGGGCTTGAAATCGATGGAGCGGTTCTTTCTCTCTCTCATGGTGGCTGCTCCTGCCTTCATGCACTCTGTAGATCTCTCCTTCTCTTCACCTGAGCTCTAGTGGCCCCAGGTTGGCTGTCACTGCTTTTCTATAGTTGTAAATTGGTTGATTTGTGGGAGAGAGTGATACTGGGGACCATCTATTCTACCTTCTTTACCAGAAGCCCATAATAACTCCTTAGTATCATAAAATAGCCAATCAATGTTCACATCTCCCCAATTGTCTTATAATTATTTTAAGTTTTGTTTGGATCAGTATCCAAATAATTTCACATATTACAATCAATTGATACATTTCTTAAGATTATTTTCTTGTAATTATTTTGTTGCAAGTGTCATTGGTCCTGCAGAAGTTTCCCATGTCCAGATTTTCCATATTGCATCCTTGTGGTGTCATTTAATATGTTTTTCTCCCCTTTTATTTCCCATAAATCAATGGCTAGATCTAAGTGTTTGATCAGATTCAAATTACGGTTTTTTTCTTGCAAGACTACTTCAAATGTGGTCCTGGGTACTTCTATCAGTGAGTACATAATATATAGTTGTCTCTCCATTAGGCATGTTATCAGTCACTGATGACCATTTCCTAGATTCATAAACTAATCAGGATTGCATAATAGTAATATTCTAATTCCATAATTCTTTCTTTATTTGCTGTCATACTTCTATAAAAAGAAACTTCCCTTACTAAATTATTTGGTTACCCTTAGGTACATATTATATAGGAAGGGAATGACAAATACTTGATTCTTTCCCTATATTTTTATGTTTTCAAATTAATAGCTCTCAATAATTTTTCTTTTTAAGAAGCATTGAGAACTCATGGATATAAGCATATTTGGTGAGTTTCCATTCGTTGCCATTATCTTTATTGATGTTCAAAGTGTCCTTCACTGGAGAATTTGTTCAGGTTGACTCCTTCATTTTCACATGACTTTAGCAGTCTTTAAGCTTATTTACTTTCTAGTAAAACAAGATATTTTAGGCTTGTCTTGAACATTTTCTGAGCCAGACCTGGAATCAGCTATTTCTCCCAAACAGTCCTGGTTGTTTTTGGTAAGAAATTATTTTTAGAATCACAATCTGAGCTCTCAAGGTGCTCATTGCTATTGGGTTAATCATTGTTTCTAGGCCCTTTCAGTGAGCAGAAATGGAAAAAAAATTTTTAAGATAAATTCATCATGATTTCATACT